GGCTCTTTCATGCCAGCCGAAGCAGGGAAATATGTTTGCTTAATAGCTTCCTTGTTATGTCCTCATAAATTAAGAACTCACTTCATCTCATCGCGCTCCACAAGAGGAAAACATCAAACATCTCGGTGAGGAACTCGCGCTCCGACTCAGGAAAAAGAAAGTTTGCTTTTGAAACATTCACAACACCGACGGAGAGAAAGCGAATCAGATACTCAGCCCGGATCATGTCAACCGAATCAAATCCCGTTGAACACACTCCTGATCACACACAGGTTTCCAAATGTTTGAGGAGGTTATTTGTGAGGAACGAGTGTATTTGAGCTCATTTGCATACAAGCAAATCAATATTTTATTCTTCCTTTGAGTCGCTGCACTGTTTTTACTCCTGTCACACCATCTTTTAGAAGGCACAAATATCTCAGTCAAAAAGACATTTTTTTTTTATATCGGACAACAAACATTTAATAATTAGAAAGGGGGGAAAGTATAAAACAACCTATTTAATGAGTTATTAAGCAAATTTACTCTAGTTAATGAGAAATCCAGGACTAGTATGTCCAGATTTTGTGCACATCAAAGTCAGCATCTGGTCTTTATTTGTGTATAACGACTGAACGGAGCCTTGGCAAACATCTCGGCAAGCAGAAACAAAAAGGTAAACTTTGAATATTGTGGGATTATCTGTTACTTAATGAGGCCGTTCGATCAGACAGAGCAAATAGGTTGAGTCGCTGCACTGTTTTTACTCCTGTCACACCATCTTTTAGAAGGCACAAATATCTCAGTCAAAAAGACATTTTTTTTTTTATATCGGACAACAAACATTTAATAATTAGAAAGGGGGGAAAGTATAAAACAACCTATTTAATGAGTTATTAAGCAAATTTACTCTAGTTAATGAGAAATCCAGGACTAGTATGTCCAGATTTTGTGCACATCAAAGTCAGCATCTGGTCTTTATTTGTGTATAACGACTGAACGGAGCCTTGGCAAACATCTCGGCAAGCAGAAACAAAAAGGTAAACTTTGAATATTGTGGGATTATCTGTTACTTAATGAGGCCGTTCGATCAGACAGAGCAAATAGCAGTATGTTAATTAGTGATTATACTCAATGATCCTGAGCACACATCGCAGATATCTGTGGTATTATGGGGCAGTTCACATTTATCAGTCTCTTATAGCCAGAAGCAATCAGATGCATTCAAATCCGGATAAACCATGTTAAAATCAGTGCAACTTATGAAAACATCTTTGCATTTTGCAATGCATTTCTGATTTTAGAGGTATGCACAAACCTATATAAGCTCTGTAAATTTTCTTTGTTCTGTCACAAAATTTGTGAAAGCTCAGAGTCCTCTTTCATTTGCATACGCTAATTGCTCGTTCTCATCATGCAGTATGAAGTAACCTCATTTGATAATAAGACAAGACTAATAAATCACGGACTTCATCATTAAATGAATCACTTCCTACGGGAATTTTGATTGTTTTATCTAATTGTTTAAAATAAGACTAAACCCTAAAATATGTCTACACCTGTGCCATTTATAATTATGAATAAATGCTTTACATAATTTATAATAAAAGTCTTTCATTTGCGGGTGTTAATAATTGGCTCATTTTCAAAATGCACATTTTCAGTGGCTTTCATTTGAGATTTTTAAAATATTCTTTATAAAATATTTTGACATTAAACATTTTGACATTTCAAAATCATTTCAGAGATTTTCATCTCTCTCTCTCTACATACACAGCATATTTTTAAACTAGGTGTTAAAATGTAAGCCCACAGCAACATAGCCTGAAGAACTGCCTGTTTTATTATGTATAACTCTCTTTTTTCATTGCCTTTTTAAGATTGAAAATCTCTAAACATTTTATTATGTTATAATTATATGTATTGCATTAATTTAGCATTGCTTTTCAAATCACACATTTTTTT